GTATGGAAGAGCATACCTTTAAGCCCAGCACTCCTGAGAGAGAGGCAGGTGGATCTGAGTTCCAGGCCAGCCTGGTCTACATAGTGAGGTCCAGGTCAGCCAAGACTACAAAGTAAGACTGTCTCAAAAAAATATTTTTTGCTAATAATTTAGTCATGACAATACTACCACAATTTGAGAGATAATGCCTTGCCATCTCTAACTCCTTCTCTAAAGGCAAGTTGTGTTAAGAGTCCTTGCCCAATGGAAACTATCCAGATTTCAGGATTAATTCTTGTTGTGATTGCAAATGATTGATTTTTTTAACTAACTACCCATAAACATCTCAAATCAATACTCATTATCCTAAGAAAGAACAACTAGGTTAAGATTAAAATGTATTTCCAGGAGACAAGCAGAGACAGTAAGGAGATTCATTTTACTGGGAGATGGTGATGAGATGTGAAGCAAGAAAAAGCAGCAGCTCCCCACAGCTGGTGGCATATCCAGGTCTGGAATGCTCCCAGGTACCAGGGAAGGCTCCCAGAAGAGGCAGTGAAGGAACAACAAAGAAAACGGTGTTCAGCAACACATGGAACTGATTCAGCTGACTGTGTCCTTTTGTTCCTGGTATACCTGACACTACTTTGAAAGAGTCAAATTTCAGTATCAGCTAGTTTCCTGGCCATATTGCTTTCCCATTATGCTCATTACTAAAGCAGCTTTTCACATCAGTTAACACTTGGAAAATATGATATAACCATTTCTCTGATACAACCATTTTGTCTAGATTATGCCTTTATCATCAGTCCCTCTTTATTTCTCTAATGTAGAAAAACGGCATAGATTTGAATCACGTTCTTAACAGTGAGAAAAGCAACAATGGCTCAAGGAATAAAGAATAAAAATCTCAGTATTGAAACATAGAATTTTAGTTGAATCACCAAGACAGTATTTTGCAAGCTGATAGGAAACCACTGTACATATATACACTCTGAAATTGATTGAAGAAATTATTTTTAAGTGATTGTAAACAGATCACTAAAAGTGCTTGCCAAAAATCTTATCATTTTTATGAATAGGATGGTGGAAATCTATGACAAATTTGGAAAAACATTCAGTGATAAACATTTGCTAATAATATCTTGGACTTACTGTTTTATTTGAAGTTCTTATTTGGTTTAATAACGAATCATGATAACTACTTTAATGACAGTTCTGGAGGAAGGGAGGAAAAAAAGACTTGGAACTTCAATACCAATTAAGCTCATTAAAAGCAAAATAGCTATTCCAAATAGCATTTCCCCTTTTAATATTGATTCCAAATGATTTTCCCAGTACAAGTCAGTACTAGTTCTGGTTACCATATTTAATCATGATTTCAGAGATATGTCAAGACATCAAAGAGATATCATCACAAGTAATGTACTGGGAGAACACTGGTGCCAAAAATTTAAAGCCCTAATTTGTATTGTGTCTCATCTAGTTACTGTTACCTTTGAAAAAGCTGTATCACTTCAGCACTATGCATTCAATTTGGGACCAAATATTCGCAGACCAGGGCAGCAACAGATTTTTACAAAAATGTATCTATGTAGGTCCTCAAAGAAAGTTTTGGGTTTTATCCCCACAAAAGGGCATGGACTGGCTACCAGATGTGGAGCCCGTATGGCAGACCAACAGGAGAGCCCTGGACAGTGAGAATGGAACTAGTCAGCTCAATAGGCAGAAGCAACTGATAGATGACACACAAATGCTTGGTTCTATTGACTTTCTGGAAAAAAATACATAAATCACTTTATTTTTAAACCTAGACATATGACTTAGAGAGTCATTTTCTACAAATCTTTCATTTTTTGAAAAACTTAGTTTGAAAGGAAACTTGCCCACATGTAGTTCATTACTTGGTCTGAATTAAAACATAATTCATGTGAATGTTAAAAGAAAGAACTGACTGGAGAACAGACTGTGGTTGCTTTGGCTGGTAGAGTGAGGCTGTGTTTGCCTCAATTCTCCAAGATCTGTTTCAGAGCAAATCAGTCACCAGAGCCCGTGATTCTGTGCCAGGGTTATCTCTTCAACTTCATCCTTCCTTGCCAAGTGTTAGATTTTCCTGAACAAAGGAGTACTCAATGTCCAGTCTGTCAAAATTAAAGGTCCTATTATGTGCCATGCCCTATGCAAAACCTTGCATATGTAGTTTCCAGCCTTATAAGCTTCTCACCTTCCCTTACCTTCCTTTTTGAAGGCAAGTTTCCTTCCTTCAAAACACAGTGTAAGTATTAACTGCTCATGGAAAGCCTGTTTGGTTTGACTAGTCAGAACCATGACTTTGTGAGAGACAGAGACAGAAATAGACAGAGATGGAGAGATGGACAGAAACAGAGAGATGACATATGTAGTATATAAGGATGACCTAGGGTGTCATTCCTCAGGCACCACCTACCTTTTTTCCCATTTTTTTATTAATTAGAAGAAGCATTTCATCACAGCTTTAATGTACACAATAACAATTTCCAGAGCAAAGATACATCTCTTTCAAAAGTGGCTATAAAAATTTTAGGTTCACTGTTGAATTAATACAGTTATACAATATTGAACCCAGTATAACCCTGTAAGGCATAACATTGAATGAGTTTTTAACCTTTCAAAAAGATCTCCATTTCATTTTAAAATATACTGTTTCTTACAGAAAGACTCATTGTTTTTGCTAATAACACTTACTAGTCATGGTTGGTTGCTCTGGGATCCTTGGCACCCATGTATGAATATAAAGTCATTGGGTAGATTTCAATGGTAATGTTTATCACCTCTACTAATTAACATGACGTAAATTTTTATGGGATGTTCTGTGTGATATACACACAAAAAAAAATTAACCACCCACCTTTAAAAAAAAAAAACAAAAAAACAGTTGGCCATGGTGGCACACACCTTTGCTCCCAGTCAGAGGCAGGTGGATCTCTGTGAGTTCAAGACCAGCCTGGTCTATTTAGTGAGCTCCAGGTCATCTGGGGCTATAGAGAGACCCTGTCTCAAAAAGATTAAAAAACAAACAAACAAAAAAACAAAAAACCCAAAATAAACAAACAAACAAACAAACAAACAAAAAAACAACCCAGAGTCTGAGTCTCTCACTGGCCTGGAGTTTTGGTGGGGCTCACAGGTTCGGCAAGCACTTTACCAACTAAGATATCTCTTCAGGCCCAAATTATATCTTTTAAATGAACCACTACAAATAAAACCACCAATACATTTCTTAGTGCAGGGGATCAAATTCAGGGCCTTGTGCATGGTAGGCAAGTGCTCTGCTTCTGAGCTACTTCTTCAGCCCTAAATTCACTATTATATTCCTATCCTAACAAGAAATAATTCTAATGGCAGCTGACATACACAGGTCTCTATGCTAAATACCAAACTAACTTAAGCAAATCTCATTCTAGGTTATAGACCTAATATATAAAGAGCATTTAAAATGTATAAAAATAGGGCTAGGAAGATGGTTCAGCAGTTAAAATTCTCGCTATCCAAGAAAGAAGATCTGAGTTCAGATACCCAGAACCCATGGAAATACAGGGTGGATGTAGCATCCAGCTTCCAATTCCTACAGAGACAGAGGATCTTTGGAGCAAGATGGCTAACCAAACCAGCTGTGCAACCAAGCTCTGGATTTGACTAAGTAATCTTGTCTCAAAGAATAAGGTGGAAGAACAATTGAAGAACATTCCTGATGTCCACCTCGGGCCTCCACACATATAGGCACCTCCCATGTATGCATACACACATGCACCCTGCCACACACACACATATGCACTTGCATACCATATACACGAGAAAACAAATTTAAAAAACATAAAAATAATACATTCGTATTACACAAAGTATGCATTTATATTATAGACAGTAAAGGAGCACAAAAAATCAAAAAAAATTCATCTGTGGCAGAATAAAGATGGTCACAAATACTTTGTGCCTCCTCCTCTTAGGATATGGAGTCTAATTCCTTCCCCATGATTCTGGTCAATAGGAGTTCTAGGACTTCCAAATCCTGCAGCTTCCACCTGTCTCCTAGAAAGAGTTCTCCAGGAGATTCGACCTTTAAGAAGCCTGTCTACCCTGTGACTGCCATGCCAGACAGGCCATGTGTAGCAGACTCTGCAGCCAAGTCCATCCTACTCTCTATGAAGCCTGGCATGTGATCCAAGTCATCTTTGTACCCCCTCTACCAGGGATTATCACCAAGTTACCCCTGCATGCCATGAGGAACCTAAGAGCTGTCCAGCTGAGTCCTGTCTGAACTCTTGTCTAGTAATAAAGTGCTTGCTTTAAGCATGAAGTTTTAGGATCTCTATTGCCATACAGCAATAAAAATGTGAAAACCTACCACTCATGAAGAACTAGAGTAATCATTTTGATGTATTTTTTTAGTATTTACTCTATATAATTTTTTGAAGAGTGCTGAGATTACAGGTATGTATCACCATACCTGGCTTTCTTCTAGATTTTTAAGCTACCTTTATTGTCTTCATTTCTCTTTAATTATTTAACACAGTTGGGTTGATAGTATGTAACTAATTTTGGTTTTCATATCCATATAAATAAATTATTCTCCCATTAACATGAAATGATTAACATTGCTCTACCTCATTAAGGATATTCTGCAGGGGCTGGCAAGACAGCTCAGTCAGTAAAATGCCTGAAGAACAAGCATGAGGACCTGAGTTCAGATACCCAGCACTCACATAAAAGCTAGGCATGACAGAGCATGTATGCAACCTCAACACCGTCGGGGGTGGGTAGTGGTGGAAATAGACAGATCCCTGGGACGCGATGGCCATCCACCAAATCAATGAGCTCCAGGTTCAATGAGAGACCTTGTCTCAAAAATAAGTACAGCAATCAAGGAACACACCCAATACCAATCTCTGGTGTCCACAACACGCATGCACCCTTCTATGTATTTGTACATACCCATATGAATATGTACATACATCAATTAACACACATAAATATTCTTCAGAATCTTTTATGTGTCATAATCAAGATGATTGACTTTTCATACAAGTGTGTAAAACATGCTTTTCTCAAACCTTGTTGCAACATCAGTACATTATTTACCTGACATGAAATATGTATGTCTATAGACAGATAGATAGATAGATAGATAGATAGATAGATAGATCTTATTCTTTTTTTCTTTCTTTTTTTTTTTTTGAGACAGAGTCTCCTTGTAGCCCCAGTTAGCCTAGAACTTAATACATAGACCAGGCTCCCCTGATCTCACAGAGATCTGCCTGCCTCTGCCTTCTAAGTGCTGGGATTAAATGTGTAAGTCACCATGATCAATTTAATGAATTTTTAATGAAAACATAGTGCATTTGGTCAACCACCTATTGTGAAATATTTGAGTTGCTCCTAAATTCTCATTATTGTAAATAAAATTTTAATGAACATTTTCAACATAAATAATATGAGCAACTAATGCATATGTCATTAAATGTATTAGTGTAAGTAAAATTACCAGAAAAGCTAAAAACCATTCATGAACCTTAACACATACTACCAAAATGCTTTGGCAAAATTCACTCTTCCAATACCAATGCACCTGGATGATTGTGCTGTTCAACTCTACCCAACATTAAATTATTAACTATTAGCCAGATATGGTGGCACACACGTTAATCCCAGCACTCGGGAGGCAGAGGCAGGTGGATCTCTGTAAGTTCAAGGCCAGTCTGGTCTACATAGTGAGTTCCAGGACAGCTGGGGCTACAGGGAGACCCTGTCTCAAAAAGACCAATATATATATAAACTATTAATCTATTTGAAGTAGCAAATTGCATCAAGAAGGGTTTGGATTTATTATTTGACAAAGTAAACATTACTCAGATGTCTATTTGCCACAGTTTGTTCTTTCTGCCTTCCCCCCCTCTCTCTCTGCCTCTCTCTTTCTTTCTTTTTTTAAAGACATTGTCTCCTGTAGCCCCAGATGGCCTGGAACTCACTATGAAGACCAGAATGGCCTTGATCTCACAGAAATCTGCTCCAGCAATGCTCCTGTTCCACCCCCTACAGTAAAGGAGGAATAGCATATACATATATAGTCATGCACAGCTTTTTAATTGGGTGCTGCAATCCTCATGGTTGCAAACCAAGCTCTCTTACCAAATGAGACATCGCTACAGCTCCTTATTTACTACTTTTTTAAAACTTATTTTTTAGCTTTTTTTACTAATTTTTTTTTAAGAATTAAAAATTAAGCTGGGCATGATGGCATATGCCTTTAATACCAGCACTCAGGAGGGAGGCAGAGGTAGGTGGAGCTCTGTGAGATCAAGGACAGCCTGGTCTACATAGCCAGTTCCAGGTAAGCTGGAGCTACAGAAAGACCCTGTTTCAAAAAGAGCCCCCCCCCAAAAAAAAATCAAAATCAAGAGATTAAAAAAAATAGTCCCTCTGAATATGTATTGAAAAAGATTTGTCAAAATAGCCAGCCCTCACCTTCCTCTGCTTCGCAGGGCCTGCACAACACACCAGCCTCTATCCTGGGTAAGTCCATCAGCGGCTTCCACGCCTTGACTCCCCCTGCCTCATTCACCCTCCCACCTCCCCTGCCTGTCTCTCCTCCTAACCTGGGTACTGTCCCATTTCTTGTCTTGGTACCCCAGACACCGGGGAACCACCACTGCTTCCTGATCCTTTACCTCCAGGCTAACCCAGTTCCCTCTCATGGTTGCCAGGGGCCCTCTGGGCCTGGTACCAACCTCACCTCCCTCTGCTTCCCTGGGCTACACAATTAGACAGCCTCTTTCCTGGACATTGAGCTGACCTCTCAGCACAGAACCACCACTGCTTCTGGGTTCTTTGCATCCAGGGCAACCCAGTTCCTTCTTACAGTCCCAAGGAGCCCTCCGGGCCAGTCCCACCCACACCCTCTGCTTCTCTGGGCTGAAAAACCCACCAGGCTGTTTCCTGGGTAAGTCCATCAGTGCCCCACCATGTCTTGACTCCCCCAGCCTCATTCACACTCCCAGCACCCCCCACCCCATCTCTCCTCCTTGCCGGGGTACTGGCCCATTTCTTGTCTTGACACCCCAAATACCAGGACTGACTTTTCTGCTTGGAGCCACCACTGATTCCTGATCCCTAGCATCCAGACCAACGCAGTTCTTCCCTACATTCCCCAGGAGCCCTTGGGGCCTCTTCCTTCCCCAACCTCCCTTTGCATCCCTGGGTGGCACTGCCACCAGCTGCCTCAGACCAGCATCTTTCCTGGGCCCTGTGCCCGGGCCAGTGTAACCCGCAAATTCCTGAGGACAACAATTTCTCCTGGAGGGATCCAGACCTTAAGAGAAAGCCTGAGAGCATCTAATCCTCATCTGACATGGGCCTCTGTGGGAACTCCTGAAGACAAAAGCAATTTGGCCACTCCAATATAAAATCAAAAGAGAGAACCGGAAGCTTATATGAACCAGCTTTTCATGCCGAAAAAGAAAACCTCAAAGGGACATAAAGTTTACAAAAAGAAACAGACCTAAACTCAACAAAGGAAGGCTTGAATCTCACAAGAATCAGAAACTACAAAGGAAATTCACATATCAAAGTCACAGAGAAAAAATAACATGAAAAACCAAAATAATATATCCCCACCAAGTACCAATAGTCCTCTAGAGGAGTACAATG